AACCTTGCAAGGACTCATCCCTCCCATCCTGGGGGTGCTCGGACTCAGCCACGAGGCCCGTGCACCCAACACGATGTAATTAAAGTTCTTTGTTTCACTTTATTTGACCGCCTTTGAAAGTTTAATTAGAGATATTTCTCACACTCCCGTCTCTATTCTTGATCCCTGAGGGATTCTTGTGTCTATCAGAGTTCCTGAGGGGAGTAGGAGGGTTAGAGGGTTTTTTTCCTGTGGACGAGTTGGTGTTCTCCTGTAAAATCTTTAAAGGGTCCACATTCTCCTTTCTTGGTTTTTCTTGTGCTGTCTCTCCAAATTTTTTTTCAAGCAGTCACATCAAGGATTTCGGTTAATAGAAATCCTGAGACAGTTATTTTTCCCATTTTAACAATTTGACTAGCCTGGTTTGTGTGGTTTCTGTTGAACACTGTCTCAATAATAGACACAAAGCTTTTACATCTCTGTCTGTTTCCTGTGCACTCGTTTTTTCCGTGTCAGCTTCTCACCTTGAGTTCACTGCGGCTTTTTCTTCCTTGGTGTCCCTTTGAGGGTGTAACTTCACCTTTTTTTAGTTCCCAGCTCAGTCCTGCCGAGCGACATCCCCATCTGCTTTCAGCATTGATCTCTCCACATCTGATTTTTTTTTTCTTCAGAGAACTTTCCCCAGCTTTAGAACAAGCTAACTCCAAATGCTGCCGTGTTCTTCCCTGATACAGGGCAAGTCCTTGGTCCCTGTTCCAGGGCCCCACTTGTGACTTATGAATGGAATATAATAAGACACAACCTGGCAGTGAGGGTTCCCAACAACCAAATCTTTTATTACCAAATCTTTTATTAAAAGAAGAAAAGCAGCTGTGGGCACAGAGAAGAGCACACCTGCAGTTGGATCACCTGGTTTATGGACACACAGCTTCCTTTGGATACAGGGTGATGGAGATGTCTTCACTTGAGGGGCTCACAGGTCCATGTACAACACAGGGAATAGATTTCAGATGGATTTATCCATCAGACATTGTCAATATCTGGTGCAAGGCACAGAGATCCCTTGGGTTCAAGGCATCCAGAAGACATTTCTGATGGCTGTGGGAAGGGCTGGGCCTGGTGGAAGGGCTGGGTGTGCACATGTTGGCATGGCCAGGGCTTGTGG